TTAAATTTTTTTCAAACTATGGTCAATTTTTTTTTTTTTTTTTTTGGGTGTTATGACTAAATATGTAATTGCGACCTATAGTTTGTGTTTTTTTTACAGATAAATAAGTTGTGAAAAATTAAGTTAATAATTTATGATCGATAAATAACTTATGACCAATTATTTTGTTAATTTATTACTGTAAAATAAGTTAATTTGATAATTTATAACCGTGAAATAAGTTGTGACCCAAACATCTTGTAATTTGTGATCGAGTTATAAGTTTTGTGATTGTATGTGATCAAGTATGTCTTAACAATGATATGTTTAACAAGACATCTATTAATAATGAATATTTGTAACAAAACTCGTTTACATTTAAAATTTGTGATCGTTTATACGTTGGCTGTGACCTTCTGTGACCATGTCTATGTTTATTGTGATTGATTATGATCAAATTTGTCTTCATTATAATTATCTATGATCCTATTTGTCATAATTGTGACCAAATTAATAGTGACTTGATCCCATACCATCATAGATAAGACGGACTAATCACAAAATGTCACAATCAAAACAAACTTGATCACAGATAACACAAATTTGGTCACAAATAATATAACTTAGAGCCCATTTGAAGTGGCTTTTGAAAAGTCAAAAAGAGCTTTTGTGATCCAAAATTTACTTTTGGATCCGTTTGACTAATTTTATTAAAATGATTTTGGTAGTTAAAAGAACTTTTAGAAGAAGCTGTTTTAATATGGCTTCCTCTAGAATGACTTCTTAAATGAAAAGGTGCTTTTAAATATTAGTTTTTAAACAAAAATTATGGCAACTTCTTCCGAAAGCTCTTCTATAGAAAAAAATAAATGTAAAAGTTATGCCAAACGGACCCTTACATAGACAGGTTGCAAGCAATAATGGCTTACACAGATGTGGTCACAAATGGTCACTGTTAAATAGAACACGATCATATACAACACAAAACACATAGTCAATAAGTCACAGTCATGCTAAGATTTTATGAAAACAAAAACATATTCAGAAATTTTGAATTTTTATGTCACAAGATGATTTCAATATTTGAGATCAACGGTAAATCTCAATCTAATAATCTTCAATTCATCCTATCTACGAATACATGGTTTGTGAAATAAGATGAAAGAAGAGTGACTTTACAATAGCTTCACGGTGAAATATAGAGATCTCCAATAACCGGATTCTTCGACTACTACGTTCCGTCAAATTTACCCAAATTGAAATCTGAAGACAGTTGAATTGTGACATTGACGATGACATTCTGACTCAGGCAAAATCTGCTCTTGAAGAAACATTCTTATCAAATTATGGCAAATTTAAATGATAATTTTGGAGTGATTTTGGATGTAATGGAGACGTGAATACACAAATTTTCCAGATCTATTGAGTGAGAGAGAGAGAGAGAGAGAGAGAGAGAGAGTAATTTTATAGAAATCTGATAATACAAATAACAAATGCATACTCCCTGATCACAAAAATTCAAAATAGATGCCCCAAATTGGGTAAAATGCAGATATAATCCCATTGATCACCGTCAGAATAATCATTCATAAAATTAAAAAATCAGTAACTTCAAAAGTTCATGCTGAACTTGATGCATTTGATCGCATATTTATGGTTCGTGCTTCGGAGATTATTGAAAAATACCAGTTTCATCTTCTCCAACTGAATGAATTTCATCAGTTTTCCATATGAGTTGTGACTGTCATATAACAGGAATGTTGCGGCTCCAAATCGGAAATTTTGGGGAAGAAATTGTATTGATTAAAAGAGAATTTTGGAAATCATGAATATATCACATTACCTACATTAATTGACAATACCAAGTATTAATTTGTACCAAAAAGTAAGAGGCTCAATATATAAAAAGTAAAACACACATTAAAGGCTAGAACGTCCCTCTAGCTATAGGCATATTCATAAGAGTTCTTCTACGATTTTCCAAGACCAAACTGAATCGAATAAATGACTTTTGAGTGATAAATTTGTGCATACAACTTCCAAAGATATTAAAGTCTCCTAGGACATAGGAACTCTCTTAAAAAATAAAAAATGAAACCTTCTTATATTCGTGTGGACGATATAGGCTAGAAAATTCCAAATTGAGATACATAAAGTATTTTGGAATCCTAAATAGATAAACTTTCCATGATTTATTATTTTTGTAGGAAATGTGTCTTCCACGTTCCAAAATTCATTTGAATGTGACCCAAAATTTTGCACTTAGAAAGTCATTCGAATGTTGATGAGATAATAATTAAATTCTCTTTTTTCAGTGTTGGTATATGATGGCGCTTTCGTGTCATCTTCCTATTTATTTTTCTTTGTTCAAGTACAAACTATATAACACTTGTCTTCACACATAATTGACCCAATAACAAAAGAAATATTCGATCCAGATGGTCATGAAATAACTTTGAAATATAAGCAATTCACATATACAACCTTGCGTTAACCTAGCAAACAAATTTCATGCTTAAAACTAATTATTGTTGTGCATGTAACTCATATAGAGTGAAACACATTTTTATTGATTCAAATGGCTGATGCTGAGGTGGAGCACATCGAACGGGACGGAGAGGATAAAATTATTGCATATAAAATTTCAACAACT